ATATATATATATATATACCTCTTGAACCAGCCATGAAACCTAGAATAAGAGCTTTCTCTGGTCGAGTTACTTTATTAGCTGTTCTAAACATTTCTTGTGCTTCCAACATTTGTTCTCGCTATAAAAATAATACAATAAATTAATAATATAACAATTATAATTTTTATATATGATATATATAATATGTATAGCATAGTATAAATATTTTATACTATAATTTTATATTTAATAGTATAAATATTTTTCATACCGTGAGAGACAAGCCTTTTCTCGTATTTGCTGCCGCATTAGCAGGTTGTGCAGTAGTTTGTATACGAATTTGTGTAACTGTTTGGGCTGGTCTAACTGTTTGCACTCCGACAGGTGTATTTTCCACAGGTGTAATAACTGTCGGTGTCGTAACAGGTATAACTGTACTCGGAGTTGTAGGTGTACTTGGTGTTGAAGCTGTATAAGAGAAAATTAATTATTTTTTTTATTCATTTAATATCTTATTCTAGCATAGCATATATAAAAACATACGAGTTTGTGGTGTTGTTACTGGCACTACTCCACTTGGAGTAGTAGGTGTATAAGATTGTACAGATGCTACAGGAGTAATGGGGGTAGCAGGTGGATTAATCGAAGTTAATCCCTGGGCATATTCTGGAGTTGTTGATGTTTCCGTCGTAGTCGTAACCGGTGATGTAGTAGCAGCTGCTACAGCTTGAGCCTCTGCAACTTTCTTTTGTTGTTCTTCCAATTCCATCATTCTCTTTCGTTTTTTTGCTTGAGCATAGCCAAGTGGTTGTTCATTAATATCCAGTAACTTAATACCACCATCTTTGCGCATTCTATTGCTAAGAGGTGTCCTGTTAGACATTGAAGAACTCGTAAGCGAAGGAGAACGAAAACCACTTGTAGGGACTCTACTGGGAATGCCTTTCAAAGGTGCTAAAAGTAGTATATTATTTTATATTTACATATTACTTTTTTTTTTAAATAATATTAATTAAAAGTATAAAATATATATAAATTTACTTGTGTCAGTCATTTTCCTAGGCATTCCTCTACTTCTTACAGGTACTGTAGGAGCAGTGCTTTTTTTTAAATTACTTGCAGCATCTGTACTCTTTTGAAGTAATTCTGCTCTTAATGCAGCACTTTTTGGTTTTCTCTTTAAAGTAAAATGCTTAACTGGTGCAGGTTGCTGGCCAACCACAGAAGTAAGAGCAGTCTTATTAAGATAATGACATTCTAATGGAAGCATAGCTGGATCATTTTGTTTTTTTAAAAGTTTTCGAAGATCATTGACTAGTTCTCCAAAAATAGGCCTATGTTCATCTAAATCTGTAATGTCTGTATTCAAAGAACCTGTTGATGGAAATGTTTTCATCGCTTCGGATAACATTGACACCCATAATTCACTATCCAATGAGGCCACTTCAATGATTTCTTCCAATTCAACACGCCACTGCATAATTTAATAAATTACAAATCATAAATATGTATAACAAAAAATAAACTTAAAATATAAATTATATTGAAAATGAAAAAATATATATTTTTTTAAATATATTTAAAAAATATAAATATAAGTAATAAAGTATAAATATAAATATAAATATAAATAAAAAGAATTATATTTATTAATTTATAATTTTATAAACAATATTAAACATAAAATGTGATTAGTTACTAAACATTTCAAAAACATTCAATATCTAATAAAATAAATAACAATGGAATCTTAAGACCTATGTATATAATAATTATTAAATATGCATTCAAGTAATAGTTGTAAATCTTTTTATATGTACATTTTTTTACAAAAAAAAATCTTTGTTTTTTCATACTTTAAATATATGCAATAAATAAAATTTATCCTACCTCCTCGACATTCCGTCTTGGTATGTGGAAAAATGAAAGAAGTAATTTAAGTTTAACTTGCGTTTGAAGATCTGGAAAACAATCTTTAATATTCCGCAATACTTCTGCGTTAAGTTGTGAACAAATTGAACTTCCAGTCCAGCTATCATTTGACGTTCCAAGCTTGTTATGAAGCCACAACGAAGTAT